TGGTTGCTGGTTGCTGGTTGCTGGTTGCTGGTTGCTGGTTGCTGGTTGCTGGTTGCTGGTTGCTGGTTGCTGGTTGCTGGTTGCTGGTTGCTGGTGTGGGGGACTGGGAGCACTGTAAATAGACTGCGCTTGTTTGCTTGGGTGCTTTTGCAGTGAAGGCAGTTTAGAAAAAAAAACTTGCTCAGGCCATTGTGTGACAGTGCTGTTCAGTAGTAGACTGACTGCCCCTCTGACAGCAGGTCCTTTCATAATTTCATAATGTGCTCCTAAAAAATCATCTTGATTTTGCTCACCCCCCAAAACATGTTTCAGTAATTTGAAGAACCTTTTTTTCATTTTCCATTTTCTTGTTTTGTAAAGCATTTGGAAATGCAAGTGGTACAGAGATTCTGTTTGAAAGAAAAAAACATTTTGTTCTGCAATGCTGTTTGATCTAGCTGGGAGATGGTTATCTACATAATTCAATCAGCTCCTAGCTTTTTTTACTCACTTTTGTTACCTTCCTGCCTTTATCGAGAGTCATGTTAAGGAAACATTAACTATAAAGCTCACATTTCAATAAACAAGTTCCTTACCATGTTTATTAGACAGAAAATATAGCACAGGAGCAAATAGCAGCTAAGGATGGTAGAATATCTTGAAAATATATTCAATTTCAATTAATCTCTGCCTGAATATATTAAAAGTTGTTTTGATATTCTCCCTATTAGGTTAGTGTGTGAGGCCATGAATTTGAGGATGCCAGGTATTTTGTTATTTCCCGTTTCCCAATATTAGGACAGTCAGGATGCTGCTGTGCTGTGCTGTGGATGTCTATAAAAAAACTGTCGGTCTTATAGGTCTGTAAAATTCTGACTTCAATGTCTGATGGGAAGTGAAGAGAATCAGTCAAACTTACACAAGCAACACTACTTGTTGCTCCAACTCTGGTTGTTACATAATTCTTCGGTTGTCACCTAAGACTGTTGCTTTGTCACTTTTTGTGATGGAGTTTCTCATCTGGACCGCTAAGTGTTAGATAATGTTAATGTAGTGGTGTCTGAGCCTGCTCTGCATGTCTATACATAAATTAGACTTCCCACCTGCTTGTTTGTTTCCTGAAAAGCTTCATTCATTGTAGTTGGAACTCTAAGCGCAGAGAAATATAATCATAGCCTTTTTTTTTACAGGAAAAAGATAAGATCAGCTTCAACAAAAACAGTCTTCAAATGTCCATCCAAGGTAAGTGTTATTTAAGATCATTAAATGTAAAAACAAGTTGAAGAGAAGATATATCAATTAAGAAGTTGTATCAAGGTTTTCTTAACTGCATAAAAATGAAAACATAGTCAAAAACCTTTATACTTAGAATTCCAATGTATTCTTATGGTCATTTAAATATTCCACTTCATATGTGCTGAGCTGGAGGTGAGGATTATAACCTACTGTCCTCATAATAAGGTTTTGAAGAGATGTATATGGTAAAAATGCACTTTCCTTCTTGACTGAAATGAATTGTTTTAGAATCAGAATCAGCCTTCCACAGTAGAAGATTATGATTAAGTCTAACATGGGAAAAATTAATCTTTTTAAATCTTTTTAATGCAGCTGAGGCAGTCTTAGTATATCGCCTTCCATGCCATACATTAGTATATGAATATGTTCAATGTGAGATCCATGTTATTTTCTTTCAGAGCATTCAGTTTTCAGGTTATGTTATATAGGATTCAGACTTAATATTCAATTTATTAGCAATTTATTTTCTCTTTTTGATACAGATGAAAATGAAATAAAATCAATCCAAGCTGAATGGGATCAGAAAAAGCCCAAAGCTCATGTTACAGGTAAGAGTGGTAAATTAGATTGGTAAATTAGATTAATGAGCTGATAAATACTGGATTGTGCTGAAGACGTTTAGGATATATTTGTTAAATGCGCATGTGAATGACATTTAAAAACCTTGACTCCACACTATGCCGATGACCTGGTTATCAGAGCAGAATACAGGCCTGCCTGAGTCCTTTTCTCTGACTGCTAAAACTGAGAGAGAGTCCATGTGCTGTCAGAATCACAGCCAGCAGGTGTTTGGTTTGCTTTTCCAGATCTCACTAACACTTTGCACAGGGGCGATTGTGTAAGCCCCCCCTGCCTTGAAATGCGAAGATGTGTCACTATGACCTGAGTTATAGACAGACTCAGCCTTCTAAGCGTGAGACACATTTGTCCTTTATATACCAACCCTATCACCAATCCAGAGCTTTAACCTGTGTTTATAAATAACTATGTTGCTGACATACAAAACGCCAAAGGCCCATACATTAAAAACCACAGGCTGAGCTGACATTTCAGCTTCTGCAGTATGTAGTTGTAGCGCAGGTGGGCTACCCATACATTTTCCACGTGGAACCAACCCCCTCTCATACTCAATGGCTTATACAGTATGTCTTCTAAGATGATAGCAGTATGTTTTTTTTCAATTAAGAGTTGAAGCTTTGTGGTTATCATATATTAATAAATTATTTATAACAGCATTATTAAACAGGGATCAAAATTTAATGAAAAGGTACACTAAAGATTATATGCTTCTATTGTTGAGCACATAATACGTAAGTTGATAAAATAAGAAATAAGTAGTAATATATCACTAAATTTAAGATCTTAACTATTAGAAGTGTAATAGGTATATAAATGTTATATTGTCACTACTCTAAGGAATTCATGCTGATTTTGTTCACTGTATTATAACATTTATATACTATTATATTATAGTATAAAACTATTTATAGTATATAGTATTATATATAATAATTTGTTACATTTTAATAGGTTTTTTAAATGAAGTTGAAAAGATTTTTGCAGCAGTTGAAAAGCTGACCCATTTTTTCAGTCTCCAAATAAAATCCTGCTGGAGATCTTAAATGATACCTGCATGAAACAATACAAAACATTTAAACATTTTCCCTAATGTATTCTGTCTCTTGCAAGATTTGTAACTACATTTTTACATATTTCAGAAATATTCCTTCAGATGCTACTGACGAGTGAATTTAGTTTAGTTGCCCAATGTTCCATAATCAAGTCAATGAGATAATATGAATTATAAATTAAGCCAAGTTAAAATTATAAACAACAGTGCTAAGTCCTTATTTAGAAAAGTTTGTTGGCCACAATGACAAAATTAACATTTCTGTGCAGAAAAAGAGTGCTTAAAAAGTGCTGGAATCTGGAATCGGGTGTTTAATTCTCACACTGGGTAATCTAAAGCACTGGAAAATATTAAAAGTTACTGATTAAGTTAAATTTTTAAACCAGCGGACTATTTTTAGATTAATTATGATTCAACGTAATGTAGCGGCGAGGCTTAATAATAAGAAAGAATTAAGTGTTCTGGGCTTTCCCAAATGAGGCCCCATTTCTCTGTTCATCTCTGTGGTGCAGCCACAGAGAAACTATTCATGCA